GCTTAATGCTTAAGGAAGTGCTCATGTGAAGGCTTGTGTGAGAGTCATACGAGGCTGTTCTCCAGCCCCCTTATTCCTCCTCTGGAGGGGTACAACATGACTATCAACTTGCCAGGGAGGAAAGGTCAGTAGAGGGTCCAAACCACATGACCGGCAACATGAAAAGTCAGGGGTCTAAACCACATGACCAGTGATAGACTAGGGAAGGGAAGTGCACCCGAGGGGTGAGGTCACAGCTACAGTTGTCTGTTACTAGGCAGCTGGGGCTTTTCACCCTGGTGGCCTTTCGTACCTCACCTGGGGTTCCTACTCTACTCATGTCGTTCCTGCTAAAGCAGATTGGAGGCAGTTAGGTATTTTTAAAATTCTATTTGGGTCCTTAAGCATTTACTGATCATCCTACTGTAAGTGTCGATTATCTGTTGACACAATAATTCTGCATTAACAAAGTTAAATGACTTAAAATAATAAGCATTCATGGAACTTTCAGGATTATGGCTGGGTGGTGCTTGGGCGCTCCTTGTCCTGGGCTCGGCTGGGACTTCTCATTTGGCTTTGAGGCCCGAGGAGCTCCGGAGGGTGCCCTTAAGGAAGGAGTCATATTTAACTCTGATTTTTAAAGATGATCAACTGAAAAGGCAGATGTTAATAGTCAGAAAATTTGGGGTCGGAAAACCAGGAAGTTTTGGGTGTAGAGGAGCACTGTTCAGGACATTCACTTTGGGGAATCGTGGTCTTTGGCTTTTGTTTGCCTAAAATCACCAATTGTTAAAAACACAGAATTTGATAATGCCAGTATCCTTGTTTAAAGAAATTTCAGTTGTGTGTACTTAAAGATCAGATTGCCTGTATGCACTGGTTCGTGGAATCAGGTGGTTTCCCACCTGGCAAGTACGTACGAAGGAATTTGTGGGAGCTGCATAAAAATGAAAGACTTTCGTATGCAGAAAGTGTGGGGCTAGGAGGTTCCTACCAAAGAACGGATTGCTTGTGTCGTCTTCCTTTGAGGACAGCGGGGCTCTCTCGGGCAGATTACCCAACTGGTGCTGACCTGATGGACTGGTTTAATATTCCACTCCCGGGGGAGGTTGAGACTCTAATTAAGTTAGGTGGTGTTAATTCTTGGTTTGGTGATGTGGGCTTAACCCAGAATGACTGCAATTTGGGCCTGTTGACTCTTTTTTAATTCCCCAAACTTATGTTAAAATAATATTTTATGGCAACAACTTGGATGGACCTCGAAGTTATTATTCTAAGTAATGTAAGTTAGCTAGAAAAAGACAGATACCATATGATTTCATTCATATGTAGATGTAATATAAAAATGAAAACAAAACAAGCTTACAGAGGCAGACAAAGATTGGTGGTTGGCAGAGGGAAATGGGGTCAAGGGAGTGAAACAGGTAATGGGGCTCGATTGTGTGACGTAGACAGAAACTAGACTTTTGGTGGTGAGCGTAAGGTAGTACATACTGTTGTTGAGTTATACTGTTGCACACCTGAAACTAATATAATGTGATAATCCAATATCTCCTTAATAAAAAAAATTACAAGACAAAGTATTTTTTCATATGCAAATTTGAAGGGTCTACTCAAGTGGTGATCAACTAATATTTACTTCTTCCTAATTCCTTAAGCATTTAAAAAAATTTTAGTAGGTTTCTCTCTTTTTCTTCTTTTGTCATTTATGATGTCATCAGTTGGCGAAACATCCAAATATAATGATAGTTCAGACCTGAAGGGGACTGTGAAACCACTTAGTCCAACTTTTATCAATAAGGGAAAATAAACAAACAAGCAAACAAACAAACAAACAGGAGCTCCTGTGAACTTGCCCCAAGTCACAGAACAGAGGAGTGGGAAGCACGAGAATAGAACACCGGACCCTTGGTTTCCATTCTAGTGGTTTCCTCTGTTGTTAATTTTGTTGTTGGGATTTTCTCTAGCTTCCTGGGAAAATAAGTCAGTGATGGGTATTTGCATAGTCCCTTATAAGACACCTTCAGATACTTTAGTTTGTGGTCGAAATGAAAGCTGACAGAATCTGATACAATCGTTAAGTATTACTTCTAATTTTTTGGTCTTCTCTGTAAAAAAAACAAAACAAAAAGGAATTAGAATGTTCCATTTCAATAGAATTGTTCTGCCAACAATAGAATTGTTGTAAGCGGTAAATAAATTGCTGCAGTGTAATCACTTAGGCACATGTTAATTCTTTTCTATTTTTATTACCGTTAATATTGTTAGTACTTGCTATTGTTTCTGTCTACTTCACAGACCACACATTGGTGCTGGATGAATGGGGTCAATTCCCTTGTCCAAGTTCTGTTGTGCGTGGGAGAAAGAGGAAGGCATGTGCCCTTGGGGTGCTCCTCGTGTGAGCTTAGGGATTTCAGCCTCTGATCTTGTGTTTAGCCAAAAAGGGGGCCACGTTATTTTGGCATGTTTCCTTGTTTAATGTTGGTAAGCAACTAAAAATAGAAGACTTGAAAGAAGGTCATTTCGTCAACCAGTGCTCTCTGTATCGTTCTTGGCTCCCATTGCTTTAGGATGCTGCATTTTAAGAGTAAATTATTTGGTGCCTAAAAGGAAATGGAATTTCTCATGGAGGAAGGATTTCTAAACAAAGGGGTAAAATAAATATAACTCACTGAAATAGCCATCATAGTGAGCTAGCAGTGAAACAAAATATGAATTTACCAAAATTTACCATTGGAAAAATTCCTAAACCCTGTGGTTTGTTGTTTTATGGAAAGGAAACCACTCCTAAGTGTTACACTGTGTTAAAATAAACCAGTAACTGAGGGAATCTGAGAAATGAAGCTTCCAGAAGCAGACCAAGCCAAGAAGCCCCCCTCCCCAGTCAGATGTATTGTGACTCCAACCTTCCCCAGCACGTTCGCCCTCCCACACCGCTGTTCCCCTCTCTGCAGCCATTTAGCTTATGTAAGGGAATAGCAGAAATATCCCAGGTTGGTTTTTGTTGAGTTATTCTGAAAATGATACAGGCAGAGCCGAGAGAGCATGCTTAGCAGGGATTTAATCTTTTTGAAATCACAGACCAAGTTAACAGTGAAGATTAGGGCTAAGGAATTGGACTCAGGGACATACCCATATGCCAACATACACAAAAGCTCGCGGACAGCTTGAGGATGTGGTGGGCTCCCGGAAGCCTGTTTCAGGACTTGAGTGCTTCACCTGTGTTGTGAAAGTCGACAGTGTCCCTAGCTTTCCTGCTTGCCAAGCTCTCTTTTCAGAGCTAAGTGAGAAGAAAGGATTTAAATGTAGTACTTGAGGATGGATTCAGTCCAGAAATTGCTAAAAGCTGACTCAGTATAGTTTTTTGGGCTCACCTTTTCTCCAATCATTCAATACATGAAAGGTCAGATTCTCAGCTATTTTTGAGCCAGGGAAGGAAAAGGGAAGCAAAAAGGAAAAGACCTGCCTCTTGAGTGACACTTGGACGTATTTTTTATGTCCTTACAGTGCCATTTGGACATATTTTTTATCTGCCCAAACAAAACAGAAGAACTACATATATTTTGTAAGCAGTTGTAAAGGTGGGCATTTCTTTCTGATGCCAACCCACTCAGGTTTTACAAAAGGATCTCTGTTCTATAGAACAGTCCCATTGTGTAAGTGTAAGAAGACCTTATTCAAATGTAAATTTTAAGGCATTCTGGGGAGAAATTCTTTGAGGAGAAATTGGATTAAAAAGAGTAATAGAAAAAAATGAAATCGGGTAAGGGAAATAAGGATAAGTTAGAAAATGCTTGCTTGGATGATGCCATTTGATTTGACTTTTTCCCTTCCATTCTGTACTTTAAAATACAGAAATTTGCTTGTAGGTGAAAATGCCTTGCTTTAGTTTTTTCCTAGGGGGTTGTTAATAGCCACATCTTGCTTCCCTTTCATTGTCTTTATTAAAGCCAGCTGGTCACCATAGTTTGCCATGTACAATGAGCACCTTTTTGGCCAAATTTTTGAGGGAAAAATAAGAACGGGCATTATACATGGGTAGTACTAACTCCACCTCTGTTTAAGCATTTTAATTCTTTCATTTGTGCTTATGTGTTAAAAGTGTAACTCTAGAAAGCAGTAATGGTATCTGTATGCAAAATAATGCCCTGGAATACAATCATTGGTTTTGTTCCTAAACATACATAAATACAAAATGGAATTAAAATATTAAAACAGGAGATTTTTTTTTTTATCCTGAAAGTTTGGGCCGCAAGTGTAGGTGCACATTATACACGGCAGAGTGAGGTGCGTGTCCTCTGAGTGGACGTGCGGAGCTCCCCCTGCACACGCGCGCCCTGCGGCAGGTGCAGGGTCTGCGCAGGTTCCCGCTCCACTAGAAGTCGGCCTTCTTATGCCTAATTTGGTTCCAAAGGCCATAGGCTGGTGAGAAATATCCATTGCATGCGGGCGAGCTCTGATCCCACCACCAGGGCTTACTGACTTTGTTACCTTGGATAAATGACTTAATTTCACACAGCCTTGGCACCCTCGGTTTTCAGGGTTAAGACATTTGTGAAAGGTTTTGTGTCTGGAAGACATTGTCCTTCTCAAATTGCATAGGTGAATAAACTCCTGCTTTGTTTAAGGTCAGCCCTGTGACAGGTATACTTGCCAGAGTGCCTGGCTTATTGGGGGTAGATAGGACAGTCATGTTTAGAGCTAACAGTGCTAGTAGATCTTGTTCCATGTATTATTTCGTTTATGGGTCATAATTTTTCTGTGAAGTAGATACTATTATTATACCCTCTTTTATAGGAGAGAAAAATAAATTTTTTTTTTCTTGCCCAAAAACTTGCCCAAGGTCTTCTGCAAAGGGAGCAGCAGAGCTGGGGGTTGAAACCCAGGTGGTCTGAGTCTGGAGCCCACACTCGGTCTTTTCCGGCCTTTCTCAGACCTGCATCATGTTCACATGGAGAGGAGAACGTCGATGTGTGATTGACTGTGGCACTTATTTAAGGTTTTTTTCTTTTCTCTCTCAGGTATCTGACAACAAGCAGTAACAGAAATTTCCTGCTTACCATGAGGCCATTCTTGAAGAGGGCCATTTTGGTCATAAGTTACGTAAGTACATATATGCTTCTGAAATATCTGACAAGGGGTGTTTCACTTTAACTTAGCTCAGAGACATGATCCAGATTACTTAATAGAATCAGCAACAGAGTCTAACACCTTGATGTCAGGGTCAAAGAGTTAACAAGCCAGAAATGTTAGCATTGGAAGGGACATGCGAGCGCCACCACACAGTGCTAACTACGGCATTTTACCAGTTCCTTTCAGAGTGCTGGTGCTGAGTCGCCTTTGCCGAGTTGTCACCCCCGACTATATCAGTGATCCATGGCGGCAAACCAATAACCCCACAGTGGAGTGGCTTAAAACAACCACCTCCATATGCCTGGCCTCAGCGCTATAGTTTGGGCAGCATCCAGCTGGATGGTTCTGCTCATTATGATTTTTACTGGGGTCACTTAAATCGGTGCCGCTGTCACCTGGGCTGGGTGGTCTCTCTGTGATATCTCGTTGTCTAGGCCCCTCGCTGTGGCCGCTCTCACTAGCAGGACCGCCAGGCCTTTGTTGCGGCATGGCAGCTGGGTTCTCAGAGAACAACCCGAAAGGTGCAGGGCCTTCGTGGGGTCAGGCCCAGGACTGACACAGTGTGCCTTCTCCCACTTTCTGCTGGTTGATGCAAGACAGTAGACCAACCCAGATTTAAGCAGGTAGGGCAATGGACTCCACTTCTTGATAGGACAAAGGAGGCTGCTAGGAATTCTTGGTGGCCGCCCTTGGTGACTGTCACATTAATCATCCTTTTATGTTGTTGGATGTTTCTATTCAAGGACATTAGGAGACCAATCTCTTATGCTGTTGCTGTGTCTCATAAATTTCCCGTCAAGATTTAGAATAAGGTTTGACAGGAAACTTATGAAAATGTCTCTGAATTTATTGTTAACAATGTAAGTTTTTTTCCTCAACCCAAAAGTATGTTTATGGAAGAAGAAAAGTATGAAAAGCCTGAACGAGGTAGAGAGCTTTGACTGGAGAATTTCAGAAGAGGGGGCAGAACATGTCTGTAAAGAATTCCCCAGTATCTTTGCAGCAGGATAGCACCAGTTAGTGATAAAATCCCATTGGGTGTCACAAAAAACATTCCCTGGGGTTGCTGAAATAACTCTTCGTGAGTGTTCTGCTTCGTGGAATTCAAGAGTTGTAACATTTCCAAATGTGTCCATTCAAGATGCAGCAGTATTACCCATGATATTTAAATTAACTTTTTTGAGGTTATGTGAGCGGGATCGTTATGAAATTGGCCAGTGCAGACCAATGGCACAGGTTCAATTCCTGGGTCTCACAGTTTCCCAGTAAGTTACCTAGTACATGTCCTAGTAAGTGTGTGATACCGACAGCTGTTGGTGGGAATTCGCTTGCTGCTCCCTCCTGACCTTCATTATTCACTCCCCTCCCTCCCCTGCTATTTCCACTTTTCCAACTCATCATACATGTTAGAATTTTATAGAAATGCTCACTAGAAAAAGTGTTTGCAAAACAAAATATTTGTAAAGCATCTGGAAATATCCCCCAGAAAGGTGGGTCTTGCCCCCGCACGTGATGGGTTTCTTACTGAACCTTCTTTCCCCCCCGAAGGTGATTGTGGTGTTGTACTTCCGTCTCTGGATAATGGGAGGGTCTATGCCCCTCTTTTCAGAGCAAGATAATCCGGCTTCATTTTCGCCTTACATCCTTACAAGGTGAGTGGAAATACACTTGTAACTTTACCTGGTGTTCGTTAAATTGTTCTGTAATCTTAAATGATAAGTTGGATTTTAAAAGGAGGAGGGTTGGTGTTCTGTTCAGGTTGTGGGGGGAAAAATAAGCTTTTTATACATTTGGAATTCTTTTCAAAAAATGGTGCAATTTTGTCATATCATTGCTGTTGTTTTCATAATGGTGTATATAGATGCATGTGTTTATTCAATGAGCATTTTATTGAGTACTTATCATCCATAATAAATATCTAGTCAGTGACCCGTGTGGGAAATGTTATAGAACAATACACAGAGTGGTGTGGAGGTTGATTGGACATCATAACAGTTTGTAAGCTTAACATGTGCAGGGAGGTTTGAAGTGGCAAACAACAATGAACAACAGTTGTTGCTAAGATACAGCTAATTGTATCTCACCATGCATCGGGAAGAGGTTTAGAAGCACTGAATCAAGAAGGGATGTTGATCAGTGAATCTGGCTCATGGAGAAGATTTTTAATACCTTATCTATTCAGTCTTCCATGATATTCTGCTTGAGGCGTTCAGATAGAATTATATTTGACAATATTAATATATTTTCTTCAGGATATATTGTTGCTGTAATATTTAAACATATCATGCCCTGTTGTTAAATTTTTTAAGTTTTATGTACTTAACATCTAATATTATTTTCATAATAATAACGTTCAGTTTTGGGAGCTTTGCAATGATAGATAGTCCTGAATTAAAACTTGGCTCATCTAGCCATTTCTATTTTGGTTTAGTTGTATTTCTTAGGGACAGCACATTGCTGAAATCTGTTTTTATGCCAGGGTAGTGATCTTTGCTTTATTTCATTCATTTACCTTATATGTATTAATTGGTAATTTTTTCATTTTCTTTGCTTTGTATATATTTTTTATTGATCCCAGTGTTTTCTACCTTTCTTTAAAAAGTATTTTCCACTCAAAAAGGATACCTTCACAACTAACTACACCATTTTTATAGTAGGTATTATAGCACAGTTGTTTTCATTACTTACAACATGTACATGCATTTTAAAAATCTTGCATATACCTTAAGAAATCATATGGTAGTCAACCTGAAGGTTGGCTTATTCTTTTGAGGGATGACTATTAATTTACCACAAAACTATCAACTTACCCTTGTAATGCATATGTATTGTTATAGGAAGGAAAGTTGCTTTTAGTCTGTGGTTTACCTTTTGAACCTATTTGGGTTACAGTCTATGTAAATAGTCACAATGAACCTTTAAAAAAATCTAATGACATTGAAATCCTAACTTTTAAAAAATAATGTTCTTTATGTTTGCTTTTTGTCAATAAGGTATTATAAGAGGAGGAAATATAAGAAACTGAGGATAAATTGAAGCACAAGGGCAAACATGGAATGAACATCCCAATAAAGACTTCTGCAGAGCATCTGCAGCTGCTTCACAGTCAGGCTGCAGCTAGATGTAATATAATGAAGTATTCCTGCTTCAGTTCTCTTTTTGCCTTTTCCACCAGTTTAAAAAAATACTGCTTTTTATGGAAAATATCAAATTTGTGCAAAGGTGGAGAAAATGGCGTGAAGACTCTCCACATACCCTTCATCCAGTTTCAACAATCATAACTCGCGGCCGGTTGTTTCCTTCATACCCCTGCCCACGTTTTCTCCTTGCTTTGAAGCAAATACCAGATATCATCTCCATTTATATGTATATATTTTAGTGTATATTTCTAAAAGACAAGGACCCTTTTAAAAAAAGAAGCATAAGACTATTATTATACTTTAAAAATGAACAGTTCTCTAATATCATATATACCATCAGTGTTTCAATTTTTTTGTCTCATGATTAGTTATTTTTAATAGTTGTTTGTCTGAATTACCGTTCAAACAAAATTTGCACTTTGTTTGATACGTCTTTCAAGACTTATAATTTGATCGGTGTCCCTCTTCCTTCTGTCACCTGGCCTACCCGCATCCTACCCCCATCCCGCCCCCATTAGTTGTTGAAGAAACTGCCATCCTTTGTTCCTGGGAATCTGCATCATCCCGGATTTTGCACACTGCAAGCTTGTGGTATCACTTAGCACATTCCAGCATTTTCGGTGTTTGATGTAATTTGGTATAATAAGGGGCATGATCAGATTCAAGTTTATTTATGGATGTTTTTTGACAAGACGACTTCATAGGTGATGGTATGCAAATCCATCAGGAGGACATCTGGCTGTTAGTCTCACTTTCTGTGATGTTAAAATTAATTAGTGAGTTCCAGGCATCTAATTTAGCCTGATCCATTCATTAACTTTTCACCTGATGATTTTTTACAGCCATTTATAATCATTGCTTATAACCATTGTATCAAGAAAAAGAGATACTACTTTTCAAAGTAATTTGTAAGACCTGTAGTATAACTGAGCAACAAAGCTGAGTGATTTTCCTGCTAAATTTGATGGTTCAGCATTCTTCCTTAAGGCTGTCACTGAGAAGCATACTGAGCTAAGAATTAGGTAGGTTGGAAGCTCTGTGAAAAATAGAAGCACAAAGTGACCCAATCATTTTTCTATGGCATTGGCCTTCTTGTAAGACAGTTTTTCAGGTCCATGCCTAAAAGGGATGGATAGAGCAATTTTTTGTTTTCATTTTTGTTAAGTAACAAAGCTTATAGTATATACAACACTATTGGTATACTAAGATTTTATTAAAAATAGCAGAGAGAAGAGTGTTGGGAAACACCATTGCAGTATCCCCGTGCCTTCAACCCATTTCTCTGTTTGGACTTGAGAGTTGGGCCAGTGAATAATCTCCATCCCTGAGCTTCATCTGATGATTGTTAACCATTTTCGACTGCCAACCTGGAAGGAATAAAAGGCAAGGGAAGGCAATCAGTGGGGAAGGTCTGGGAACAATGTGCCAAATTAGTAGCTGCCTGTTGACAGGATTTCAAGGTGATTTGACTCATCACACTTGTAGATAAGTTAGAAATTCTCTCTTCTACTCACTTTGCAATCCAAGAGTCCTTCCAGAAGAATCTGAGAAATAGGGGAGGACTTTTCTTCACAATCTGCAGCTTACGGTGCTCATCTCATTCTGCTTCTTTTCTTCTGTGCATCATATTTTCACTTTTGGATTGTACATCCTTCGAAAACAGGGAAATTATCTCATGATTTTGTTTAATCCCATTTGAATGTCAAAGATAAACACAGCTGGACATTAGTTAAAGCAGTGAAAACAGAGTCTATTCAGTAACTGCTGACAGCGAGGGGAAGAGTTGAGGACCACTCTGATTTGTGCACAGCTGATAGGATGCTTTAAGGAAGAATGAGAGAGGGGCCAAGCTGGGGCTCAGAAGTCAGAGAGATGACAAATGACAAAGATTGGTTGGTGTGACTGTGATTTGGCTGGCTGAGCCTGCTGGAAATATTCGAAGTGAAGATTTGTCCTCCCAAAGAGACTAGCAGACAAGCCCTATCCTTCCTGATGATGGCATTTTAATGCAGTAGCTGTCAGGTCCTTGAGAAAGACACTTCTGAGTTGTAAGACATACACATTCACAACTAGAAGCCCACCATAGTAAACACTCTAAAAAAAGGGAGGGCAGAGGCCTCTCCTCAGGTGTTAGCTAGAACAGACAGTAAGTACTGGCAGTGATGAATTTTCTCAGGCCAGCGTTTTAGTGGGAGGCTGGACCATCCTAGGAGTATAGCCTCAGGCTGCTGGGAGCAGTGCTCAGGTTGGGTCATCTCCCACTGCAGAGGTAAGGATGCAGTCTGTCATGTGCTGAGACTCCTGCCGTTGTCAGAGGTCAAGAACACTACTTAAGGAATTTGTGTTGACTGAATGTTTAAATAAATTTCATTTTCTCTATCCCAAATGGAAGGGGTTCAGTTAGAATGTTTTCCACTTTATTGCAGTGCCTAGACACAGCCAGGAAACACAGTAACACCCCCATTTGTATTTTCCTTCCCCGGGTCTAGCTGGCTGTTCTTGTTCGCAAGGACCTTTGTTCTCGACTCCTCTTGAAGGGCAGTTCTTCCATTTGTGAATAAGAGACTTTATTTCTCTACCACAGCTATTTTGATTTTTTAGAAATAATTCAGTATGGATCAACTTGCTATAAAGTGATAATCAATCTGGATTATAATCATTAAATATTTTCCTGTCTACTACTGGGCGCTATTAAAAACAGTTCACATGTCTCTTACCCAGGGACTCCTACCCAGCGGGGCAGCAATTCTGTTGTATGCTTTCATCAAACTTTTCCTTTGTAGCATTTATCTCAGGTCATAACGTCTTTATTTGCATGATAATTTTGAAGTTTATGTCATGGAAACTAGGTCAATACTTACTCGCCTTTGAAAGGCCAGCATTTACCACAGTGACTAGAAACTACTCAATATTTTCCAAAATGATTGATTTAATGACTAAAGAAACACCTTCTGGCTGTCTTTTCCTGTAAGATAATGTTGACAGTGTGGAAATGCTGTTTAATAGAAACAGGGGGAATGAATGTTTACAGAATGTCGTGGGCCTTGCGTCCTGTCTCAGCGAGTCTTCTTCTCTTTGTAGATTCCTTACGTACTCCTACCTCTTGGCCTTCAACACGTGGCTCCTGCTTGCACCGGTCACCCTGTGCTATGACTGGCAGGTTGGCAGTATTCCTCTGGTAGAGACCATATGGGACATTCGGAATTTAGCCACCATCCTCCTGGCAGTTGTGATGGCCTTACTGAGCCTGCACTGTTTAGCTGCCTTCAAGGTAAGTTTCTTAAATGTAAACGAACTCTGCATTTGAAGAGAGATAATCGATAGCCATTAATGTTTTCTCAGCTGGAGGTCTGGGTCTAAATTGAATCTACTCTTTTGTCTGAAAACTTTATGTATTTAAAATTTTTCCTGGTAGACAATATGTATTTTAAAGACCTTAATGGGTTTAACAGACCATGGTCACCTTAATTATATTTCTTCCGCTGTTTCTACTGACCCTGAAGAAATTAGATCTGATATTTAATGCTTGCAAACAAGATATGTTTTTCCTGCTGTGGTTGGCTACTTTTTGAAGTAATGTAATGTTTGACTTCATGTAATGTTAAATGAGATAATAATAATAATATATTCATAAGTGCTTGAATTACGTTTAAGACTCTACTTCCAGTGATGACTGCCTGCCTCAGTTGGGTGATACTCACTTAATAAAAAATGATATAAAGCTAGAAAAATTATTGACTGCAGCTACTTCAAAAAGCTGAAAGACAGCAAAGAACTTGAAAATGTTTACTTATGAGAAGTTGCTACTGAATTGGGTAAGATACCTGAGGGTCTTCTCATCCTCCCAGTTCCCCGCCATCGACCCGTGTTAAAAACTGGTTGACTGGCTAGGGGGGCTGATTTGCTTTGGGAGAGTATCAGAGCAGCTAGAAATGTATCGAGGAGATTTTTGGAAGCAAAGAGCTGTGCCAAGGCCGAGATAATATGCTCTCTAAGCATTCATGGCCGACTGCCCAACAGCGCGTGTGCATAGTATCCCTGAGGGAGCACAAGCAAACTTGAAAGCCTGGGGAGACTGCTTATTTGCTGCAAGTCTGAATGAATTCCTCAACCCATATATAGTTTGGGTAGCAGAGGGTAGACAGTTCACTGGCTTAAGTTGTTTATGTATGCCCTCCATTGAAATTGTTGGCTGATCACAAACTGTGCAGGCACTAGAGAAATACCCCAGAGATTCGGGGAAAAGAAAAAAAAATCTGAGCAAAAATTTCAGCTCTCTGTAGACAAACAAGTTTTTCAGTTTGACTCCAGGCAAGTTCATCATATAATGAAACAGGAAAACCAGCATATTTCAGAAGAACAAAATAGAACAGAGTCACTACAATGCATGATATACAATATCTAGTTTTTTATATTACTGAATATGTGAAGAAAGAGGAGTGTGACCCAAACTCAGGAAAAATAATAGTAAAAAAAAGGAAAATAAAGAAGAATTGAGATTCTTTATCTGAACTCACATTTACTTGATCAATGGACTCTTGACAAAGTTACTGAGAAAGGATAGTCTTTTCACAAGACACAGAAGCTCTGTCATCACTCTGTGTTGTCAGCCAGGGCTCTGGAGGAGGGGGGTGTAACATAATCTACCCTGTTACAACTGTATTTATTCCTACTTGATTTTTAATTAATATCTTAATAATTGACTTTACAAAGCTACAAATTAACATATGTAATTAACACATGTAATGAATAAAACAGCAGGGTTGTTATTTTCCGATCACTCCCTCAAACCCCACCCTCTGTAAGCTACCTTTGACCTTTGTTCTTATACATTTTTACACTCACTAAAAACAAAAATTCTTTCTTTATACAAGTGAGTTAAGCCAGATACCATTACAGATGGCAGGCTCTTTCAGAACACTGCCACGCTCAGTAGAAGCACCCCCGTTAAGTAAGCAGCTCAGGAGTAGATGTTTGACTTTTGACAAGCTCTCAAAAGTTGGGGATGGAGTGGGAGAACGAGACTATAGAATCTGAGATACTTCTTTCTGAACTGACTGCAGGAATAACTTAGAGATTATTTGTCGCCCTTAGTGGCGTGGCTCAGTTAATTGGGTTTCATCCCGAAAAGTGAAAGGTTGCGGTTGGATTCCCAGTCTGGGCACATGCCCGATTGGCAGGTTTAGTCCCTTGTTTGGGCTACGTGTAAGAGTCAACCGATCGATGTTTCTCTCTCTCTCCACCCCCTCTTTCTAACCCCTCTTTCTTTCCCTCCCTCCCTCCTCCTCTTTTTAAAACTAAAATCTGTACAAAGTAAATACATAAAAAGATTGTTTCTATTTTTTCCTATTTTCATAGCATAAGAAATTTAAGACCTCAAGGAGTAGTTTATTATTTATCATAGAAGAGCTCACTTGGCATCTTTAAGAATTTAAATGTAGAACTTATCTTATTTTGTGCCCCTTCTTCATCCCTTGATTCGCTAGCAATACACTGAATTTATATAATATAGCATAGATAACAATCTAGAAGTTCATTACTGGATTGAATTCATTTTAACAATGAATTTCAGAGTCAACAAATTTGCTCTTATTCTTTGCGATGAAGACAATCACCCTGTTGGAATGTTATATACAGTAGAAAAAAAAGAAAATTTAAATCACGAAGTCTGATTATTCCATTTTCTTCTGCGAATAGTGAATGTTTATATACCAGGACAACCATAGGCTGAAAATGCACTTGGGTTTTTCTTTATGACTGTTACAGACTGTATGTCCGTCAGACGGTTGACCTGCAGTAAATAGCGATGTATACCTGGAGAGCAGTCAGTCCGATGGGGATTGCTGAGTACATTAGTAGTGCCATTGGTCCTGCTCTTTATAGCTGCCCCTTTCCCGTGTCCTGTGATGTGATTGTCCTGTATTACAGAGGAAATACTGTTAAGTTATAGTTAAGAGTAATTTCTTCGTTATTGATTCTTTATTTATTCTCACAAGGTGTCCTATATTTTGAGATATTTTTATAGCTTTTACAATCTTGTGGCATGCTTGTTAAAGTAAAACCCAAGGAGAGAAGAAGGGGGTTGATGATACCCAGCTTTCCTCATAATGACCTCAGCAGTGAGGTGTCTTTTGAGTCCCTTTTCCTAAGTATGGAGCTTTCAGAACTGTTTTGTTATACTTTTAATTTTAGTAGGAGGATGTAAAGTTTTGTCCTAATCTATTCATGGCACTCCACATCATTCCTTGAACCCAACATGAATCCTAGGCTACATCTCTGGGCCCCAGAGAAGCCAGATTTTCATCTCTGCAGTAGGAGCAATCTGCAGCCTGACCAATGGAGGTGACCACTAGTGACAATTTGGTAGAAGTGGAGGGGTAGGAAGGGGTGGGACTAATGTATCTGCTCCCTTGGGGGAGAAGCATTTATTTCAGGATCTCCCTTTGCGCATGTCCCCATCCTCGCTCAGTTAGCCCCCATGCTAATCTAAATCACAGTCCCATCGATATACTGGCTGAAAGAACAATAGCTATTGCATGGGCAAACAGCTACCGTCAGCCTTAGATCTCTCTTCATTCAAACCCCCATATAGCTCAGCAAGAAGACAATGGAATGAGAGCCACTACTAGAAAGTGATTATTTGCTCATTGACATTCTTACCTCATTCCAAAAGGACTCGGAGCAGCTTAAGGAAAAAAATACAATACAATGGGATCAACCAGGAGATGGAAACAGTTATTTCTTTTTTTTGCAAAGAACCAGATAATAAATATTTGAGGCTTGGCTGGTCATACAGTCTGTCCCAGTTGTTCAGTTCTGCCATTGTATTGTAAATCAGCTGACCCCTAGTATAGGACGTTGGGCTGCCACAGACCCACACAATTGAATTGAACAGGCTTTCAGATTTCTAAAAATTATTTTGCATTTTGTTCAGCCAACTAATCGGTTAATTTACTATGGCACATAGATTACTGTGGAATAACTTATAAATTCCAGAATAGCATTATGTAACCTGGTAAAATAAGCATGTTGTTTTGATACACCAAATGGTGAAATAAAATTGAAGAATGAGGTTGTTTTTAATGGCGAATGGCTCTGTGCCAATGTTGATTTTTTTCTTTCAAATTTCTGGACTATGTTCTCTTTCCAGTTCCTGTTCTCTGCACACTCCATGTTCTCCATTCTTTTTCTCTCTTCAATTCATAAAAATCCTCCTCAGACTATGAAGAGTCCAGTCTTTTTTGCCCATTTACAAACCATCCAATTCGTCCTGCTTTGGGACCATTGTAGCCACCGACAGAAGAGGTTGATAATATCTTGGCACAGTTTGTGTGTCTGTGACTACCAGTCAAGGGAGTAGCCATTGTCTGGGATGCCTCTCTGTTTCAGGTCTGACCAGCCCCGTTGATCCAGCTTCTTGCCACTCTGCTCAGCTGGCTTCACCCCCTGCCACCTTTTTACCTGTGGGATAACACCCTGATACTTGGGTCATAGCTTTTCAAGGTCAGTAGCTGTAATCAACTTTAGCCCTTAGGTCATGCTCCAAAGCTGAGATTTCTGTTTATATCACTGTTATGATGAGAGTTTGAAAATGACCTTACTGCCCCCTCACATGCAGTGTTGGCAAATAGGAAAGTTGAGTCCGCACCACATTGTAAAATAGAAGATAATTAAATATGTATGGGGACTGCCTTTTCCTACATACTTTTATGTCATTCCTTTGCTATTTGTGATACAAATTATGGCTTATGTTCTATCACCCTAATTTCACTTGGTGGTCTACTTTAAATTCGTAACTCCAGGCCTCAGATAGGAGCCAGTCCCACCTCTGTCGGAGGCAGCCCATGTGTGCTCGGGGAGGGGCACTGCCCAAAGTTTCAGATTAAGAGTCTGGAGGCTGGAGGAGGGGAGGCTGTGCAGCGAAGTGATCAGCACTGAGCTGAGGTGGAGGCCAGGCTCTGCCACTGACCCTCTGGGAGTCACCTCATTCAGCCTCGTTCTAGGGTCACAGCTGGCTGAACCAGAGTGACCCACGTGACACTCCGCACAGTGACTGGCATGTGCGAAGCATTGGGAACCTGTCAGATGTCTTTGTAGTTTTTGTCATCATTATCACCATCACCATCATCATGGAATTGTCATAGCTTAATGTCAGGAGCACAATAAAGGTTCCTGTTTCTATTTTGTAGGGAAAAAATGCATGAAAAACATAACCCATTTGACTTTCTTGACTGTATATATTGCAATATGCAATCATGCTTTACATGATCAAAAATATGTGTCATGTACTGAAGACTGACTCTGCCCTTCCCCTTTTATTCCTTCCTAAGTAACAGAGGCTAAATTCTTGACCTAAGAGCCAATGGTAGTTACATTCTCAAGTTTTGAGTGCTTTAGCTTAGTTTGGAATTTGGAGGTAGGTATGTTCAAATGTATCGGAAACACAGAATCCTAACATAAAACTACTCTATTAGTTAAAAAGTGAATTTTTATCAAGGGAAAGGAAATAGTGACAAATATCACTGACTTATTTACAAATGAATATTGGAATTGCTACCTAAAGAATGGAAATATTGTAGATGTCTTTAAAGGCATTTGAAATTTTAGCAAAAATAGGCAGGATATAAGAAATAATCGTTTTCTTTTCTTTTTGTTTTTCTTAAAACTAATTGTCATTGCTGCATTTCTCCGCCCCTCTCAGTGATGAGGACCAGAACAAAATAGACACCAGAAACACAACTTTAAATGCAGTGGCCACCTGAAAATAGAGCCCTCAAGCAAAGTCTTCCCAAGGCATTGCTTTTTGTCCATTATTAATATGTCACTTGTGAAGCCATTCTCCTTGTACTCGATCTGAACCCCACACAAACCTTTCTTTCTCAGGCTCTGGGTAACACACACTTCACTTATACCTGAGGTGCTTCGTTTGGCTTTTGATTTAGGCCTGGCTGGAGTTTTTTACATCGTGAAATAGTTTGTTTTAATCTTTGCCTTCACAGGGCAATTACATTGTCACAAGGCACATTCTTTAATAGGAGAATGATTTACCTTCGCCTCTGATGTTTATGCCTTAGTTAGAAGACTTGCTGAATTTATTAATGGAAGAATTAGTTGCATAATGGAAAAAAGGACTTTTTAGACCTCAGTAAGAGTTTATTGTTTTTCTTGATTGTATACTTTATGAGTCTCAGCAAGATTTTATAGTCTATATTACTTGCTTTTACTCAAAATAATTGCTACCTTTTGAGTGATAATCTTAATTTGTAACTTTTTATTTCTTTTAACTTAATAATTCACACTCTCATAAGAGCAATTTATTATCACTTATACTGCTTCTGACTGCTTTTAAACTCTTAAAAGGGTGAAAAGACTTTTTAGTTATTCCTGGAGCCTTTCTGTCCTTAGTGTTTCCATTCAGGACATGAAATTTCTCTTTAAAGGAGCACACTTTCCTATCTTGTTTTAAGAAAACCATGAAGTATGTAATTAGGACTCTGAGATAAAAATAGCTAAAACAAGTCCCTTTGAACAGAAAGCCCATTGGAAATTACTTACTGTATCAGAAAATACAAAGGAGACTGGTGGTTGATTGCCCAGCAACCCTATAAAGGGCTGGAGGTTGTGATCAATACAACTGGAGATAATCAACCCCCACCCCCATAAACCCCTAAAATACCTTATTTTTACATGTGGCTTTGCCTGAAGTGGCAGCATAGAGTATTAGAAAGAAAGCAAGTTTGTAATATGAGCTTTTATGATTCTCTGTCATATACATTGTTATACCAGCATGCTAATGATAAGGTCTTCAAACTTGTTTTTAACCTGAAATATAATAATAAGCGAAATACTATATGAGGTCTGTCCAGAAGAAGTCCAGCCATTGTTAATTTAATAAGAACATTTCACACAACATCGATGTAACCTGGCAGCCAAGGAGAGTGGGCTGGAGTGCGCATGCGTGAATAATGACTTCATTGTACTAGTCAGTGGGGCCAGTAGATGCCGTTAAATGAGCACATATGCTGTGTAGCTGTTACATTCAAAATGAGGGAGTAGAGCAAGCAATCTGCACCAAATTTTGTGATAAGCTGGAACATTCTTCTGTGGAAATTATTTGGATGATTCCGAAGGCCATAGCTATGGGCAGCTGGTGATTGGCAGCTTCCTCACGACAACATGCCTGCTCGTGCATCACGTCTTGTGCATAGTTTTTTGGTGAATTATGAAATCTCCCAGGTGACTCAGTCCCTCTGTAGCCCAGATTTTGTGCCCTGTGACTTCTGGCTTTTTCCAAAACTAAAATCACCTTTGAAAGAGACGAAATTTCAGACCATCAATAAAATTCAGGAAAATATGATGGGACAGCTGATGGCAATTGAGAAAACTGTGTGAGGTCCCAAGGTGCCTACTGTGAAGGGTACTGAGGTGTCACTGTCCTTTGTACATTGTTTCTTTTATCTTCTTCAATGTATGTCTCTGTTTTTCATATTGCATGGCTGCATACCTTCTGGACAGACCTCATATATGGTACCTGGGGTTGTTCAGAAAGGAAAGTATGAATTTTCCCATGGATGTCTCAAACTCAACATTCTGACGTTTAACTCTTGAACTTAACCATTCATTGTTTACTCCACAATGGTTGTTGTTATTTGCTATCTCAGTGTATTCTACTTGTTGCTCAAAACAAAATTATTTGGGTTTCCTTGTTTCCTCTCTGTCCTTCTCTAATAACACATCCAATCCATCAATAAATCCTGTCAACTATACTTTCAAAATATATCTAGAACCTGACAATGTCTCTCCAACTTCATTGCAATCTCCCTGGGCCAAGCCACCACCAAGTCTCACCTGGATTATTTCTGTAACTGCCTACCTGATCTCCCTGCTGTCTCCCTTTGTGCCAGTGGTCCAACCTAC